ACACCTTCAACTAGGGTAATTGGGCTGCTAGCACTTGCATCCTCAATTGCAGAGTTGGCATCTGCCTCTTTAATCCATGAAAACTTCGCTGATGTTCCGGACACTCCAAACATCTTTATCTCAACGTCAATCTCAGCAACGTCGTCTTCCTCGTTGTCAATCTGAACATCAAGCACAACCTTCTCATCTGTATAGTAATGATTTCGCAACTTGGGTGTCGTAATGCGGACCTTCGGAGGCTTCGGTAAAATCCGTGCCATCGAAATATCCCTGCCCATCCCTATCCTCCGTGAAATGGGCCCTTGCTTTCCTTCCCTCCACCAGACTGACCCGTTCCAGCGCTGATCACCAATGACATACGCAAGATCGAAACTCTCTTCCTCGATCCGCAGTGTAATTGATGCGACACGTGCGTCACCTGCTTCCCGTGGCACTGACACAAGGTTGAAAGCTCGTATCTGCCCCGGACTAAATGACAGGTTGGTAAATCCAACCATCAAAGGTGAACCACCGGTGGAGAACTGCACGGTGGAGGCGTCCGTGTTTGAAGAATCCTGTAACGGAACAGATAAAATCTCACTGGGAAAAGAAGAGCTGGAAGTTGCATCGCCACCTGGAAGAAGTTTGATAGGCCGAAGACTTCCTTCAAAGCCGATTTTTACTTCAGTGAGACGGATCGGTGCGGATCCAGCATGGGCGCATGATCTGATAATAAGCTGGGATTTTAAGGGTTCTCCGACATTGCCCTCTGATTTCTCGAATGAAAAAGATGCCGTAACTGCACAAATATATATATATATATATATCAATATATTAGTTTGATTATGTAATTTAAATCCAATTTCATGTCTCTGCGGAACGTACTGCAGGAAACGGTATCTTCTCCTCTAAGAACCGCAGCTGGTTTCGGTTTCACAACCGGAAGCTTTTCGATGCTCTTATGGATATCATAACACCAGCCTTGCCGGACATTAAAAGCTGCAACAGAGTATTGGAATTAGTAAACTTGCAGCCTCTAAGTATTAAGAGCGAGAGGGACAGAGCCGGGAGAGGAAGGGGGAGCGGGAGAAATTTTACTTGGGTTCAACAGTTCCCAATCCACACGCAAAACAGTCTCTCCATCCCCGGCATGGAAAGCACATTCCCTCAACGTCCAGGCAAAATCCTCCATGAGCTCCCACCAGCCATCCCGTCGCCATGTCAGATGGGGCCATAAAGGCCGTATGATAGCCATCGCCTCATTCCACTCTCCTATTCTCATATGCTCCTTAGCCATCTCCAATTTCAGTTGTTCTACCATGCGACCCTGCTGTCTCTTGGAAAATTCCTCAGTTGCCGTTTCCAGAAAACCAAGAATCAACTTAGAATGAGCAAGCCCTGGCCTGTCAGAGAGTGGGTATTCGTCATAAGGTTCGGGAACAAGATAGGTGTCGTACACAATAGATCTACTCCGCGATTGCGAGCTGGCGGGTTGATCGGGGGCTACGCGGTCCTCGCTCGGAATCCCCTCTGCAAGCTCCCTCCTGCGAGCGGTGTGTTTAGCAGCACAGTGCAACCAATAGCCCTCATGATGAAGGTATTCCCACGGACGTAGCCGCTCGTTAACGAGGACTATTTTCTCAGGCATCGCATATATGGTTTTGTGGAGATCAGGTACGGATCCCAGAAGATCGGGCACAGTCAACGATGATATTTCCGCCTGGTGCATTATCTGAGCCATCAAAAAAGCCCATCTAGCTTCCCATGCCTCCCACCCGTAATTGTTCGTGCCTTTGCCTCGACGGTCCACGATACCCTTGATGCGATTTTTGTGTATTATCCATGAACGGACTGCAGCTGCCGTCTGCTCGGTCCATAATAAACACCGGATGATGCGAATCGCAAGTATATCCGCAAGCATACGAGCATCATTAAATCTGGAGCTCCACCCAGCAATCATTTCAAATACTTCTGCACCAAACAGGCCTTCATATGCAGTCTCGTAACTTCGACACGCAGCATCCATCTCTTGACGGAATTCAGCAAAAACGCCAAGTTTAAAGTCATACCGAACGTTCCAGCCCTGGACTGGTAAGGTTTTCGAAGTCCCACTGGTAGGTGGTGCAGTTGGGGGAGGAATGGTTGTTCGATTCCTTTTCCGCCTAGCATGCTTTGAGAGATCTCTGTAGTACTCAATGCTTGGAGCTTGTAAGCTGGCAAGAAGGGAGCTGATAAATTCACTGATATCAAGCTGCGACGGCTCAGGCCGGAGAACAAAAATACTCTTCGGATCAAGGTTTGTTGCCCGTCTGATGGTGGCTATCCGGTCATTCGCATCTTCGGCCAAGGGTCCATCCTCGCACAACAACGCAACAACGAACCGTGTCTTATATCCAGATGCGGCCCAGTTTTTCCTTAAACTGTTGATTTCTATCTTCAGTTGGTTATCTCGAAGGGAGGCCATGTTTGCATCAGATGTGAACGGAAAGAAGTTGATAAAGGCTGCAGGAACTAGTTTCTGGTGCTTCGTCACCCATTGCGGTGTCATGATGCCATCTGGATATGTTGGGGAGCTCGGTGTCAGGGGAGATATCGGTGAGTGGACGACGGGCAAAGAAGTGGTACTATTGCCATGTCTGCCGGAAGCATTGTCAGGTGAAGGGAATCTGGGTAGGGTTTGACATTTGTGGGGGGGTAAAGTGTATGTCTATAGTGTCCCATCAGTATGCGGCAAGTCTCCAGCATTTTCAACGTCACAGGGGACCCAATTGCATAATACAATGAGAGAGTCATTTTTAGATACTCATACAGCTACTGGACCAGCCGGGGGGGGGGAAGATACCCAGCGCCCTTCGCATTGTTCAGAGTAATACAGAGGAACAGTTTAAAAAGTCAGAGGGGGTGCTGACCTACCCGCCCGACCCTCTTTATCCTAAATCTAACGGCCCCAGCCCCTAATCCCTCACTCTTAGAATTCCACGGCCTTCCCGCCGCATCCTGACTCAGGAGAACATTCAGCACCCTCTCCGCCGTCGAATCGGTCAACAGCGGGAAATCAGAGAATATCTCAATGCCATCATCTCGTAGAAGCGGGTACTCAGCACCAGCATGTGGAGAATTGCTGCCCTGGGGGTCGGACTCCGGATTCGGATCAGATCCAAGGCCGGAGAGGAGAATTAAGGGGAGGTTGTGGTCGACGTAGTCGGGGGGGTAAGCGTCCATTACTACGGACGTGGGAGGAAGAGATTTGCGGCGGAAGGCGGCTGCTGGTGGCCTCTAACAGCATTTCCAGGGTTACGGGTACTCATTCAGAACAGACAATCCATTCTTTGGAGCTTTGGGGTTGCGTTGGCTGAGCTGAGCCCCTTACGGTTGCGGTGTAGAGGCGGGGTTGATTTGCTGCGGAGGAAATTGACACTGGACAGATGTTTGACGTGGAACTAACCAAAGCATATGGAGTGATAGGAATATACCCACGCACCGACATACTTATTCCACGCACTACTCTCGACATTACAGAATCATCACTAAACATTTGAATAAAGGCATTTGTGTCCTTCTGGTCCGTGGATTGATCGTGTTTTATATGAGGAACAATTGCTATTTCAAGGTCATTTAGTTTACTTTACTCTTGGATCTCAAGAGATAAAAGGCAATATTCTCCTGTCAGCTATGTAAAGCCAGTATATATATATATATATATATATATAATCTTAAAGGGTTCCCCGATGGTAAGCCACGCGGCACTCTGGGGGTTTTGATGCTCATGGGTTATATCCACGGATGTACTGGATGTGAATCTAAGGAATTTTCAATATAATAAGCAGGCCTGGTATATCGAGGGGCATAGCTTTGGAGGTAAGAAGTGAGCAGGGAATGGCATCCACCCAGTTGAGTCCAAGCTTGGCCAAATATAGGAGAGGAGGAGTTTTTGAACCTCATACGATGGGATATCTGGCTTAAAGCCATTCGTAGCAGGACGGCGAAATACTCAATTCTTCTTCTTTTTGAATTTGGTTGTTTTTGGGTCATGTCGACATCTGAAACTCGCAATGCGCGAAACAGAATGAATCGAGGACGCTCTCAATTTCCGCTTCTCCCGGAGACAGCTCCACTAGGTATAATACCAGCATACATTAAAAACTATTCAGAATATCCATGGATGTGTGGTATGGAGTCGTTCGAACTTGAATGTGGTCGGAGAAAATAGATAGGGCTTAACTCTCTTGTTTCTCCAGTGTTTCCATGGTTCACCCTTAACACTGGAATATGAGGATTGAATGCAAAAAGGATGGAATTTAAGTAGACAGAAGAATCCCAGGGTCTCTAACAGTCCCGTTGAAAGATCCCAAAAGTAGCCCAGAGCTCTTAGCAGCACCAGACATCCCCGTCGTCAACAAATAAACAAGGGTTTAGCCAAAATGGGTACAGAGAGCGACTCCAAGCTGACCGGTGGGTCGCTGGGTAACCCTCCAACAGGGTGAGCTCCTCCTAACCTGCAGCAGATCAGCCAGTTATGGAGTGCTGGTAGGACTGGCATTCATCAACCTGCAGCATCTTGCATAACATCGTCCAAAGGTGCCCGGGTGGGTGGGTGGGTAGGTAGGACGAAGGGGAAGCCAGGAGAAACTACTGTGTACACATGGCAGCAACATGCACTTGAGCTCCGATCCACGGAGCCTTTAGCTGATCGAACAAAGCAGCTGTCGCTGGTCGATTGAAATGGCACGGCAGATAGGGGGAATGAGCATTTGGCAGACTTGGCAGCAAGATGGCCCAAGAATCCAAAATTAATTTAGGGGGGGGGGGGGGGGGGGCGAGGTATTTCGGATTCAGTCCTGCCGGTGATTGCAAGAAGAGCTGAGATTTCAATAAATAAAATACACAAAGGAGAAAGGAGCAACGCCGGAAGGAAAAAGAAAAAGGAGGGAGGGTTAATAAATAAGATCCCTCCACCGACGATCGATCCATACAACCCCAAGCATCTCATGGAGTTGCTCCGTAGTTCTGCTGCCGGTGTTTTAGCTGGTGGTTGCAGTCGGGTGGTGCTCTTCTTCTTCTTCTTCTTCTTCTTCTTCTTCTCCTCGTCTTTCTCTCTCTCCCCTTCCAGTCCTCCTCCGCCCAGTCTCAACCTCATCCAAACAGCTTCCACGCTGCGTCTGTTCCTGCGCAGTCGTTGCTTTTTCCTGGCCTCCACCTGCAATTCCCCCGTTGCCAATCATATCGCTCGCTGCCCTCTCTGCCATTCACCATTCACCATTCACCATTCACTTTTGCTCTGAGCAAGTGACAACCCCGTTCCGTTGTTACGTCGTCCTGGGCTACTCCTGGCACAATATCTCGAGTCGCTTGTGAACCCTCAGACCATTCTGAGCGATTGACCCAGGACAGGAAGAGAAGGGAGGGAAAAAAAAAAGAAAGAAAAGAAAAGAAAAGAAAAGAAAAGAAAACTAAGAGGCAGATCCGGCACCTCAATTTAAATACCTCGGATTTTTAAGCCCCAAATTGCATTCCTGCTTATCGTCTCGAAAAAATTATTAACCGTTCACTAAATAATCAGATTTCCACCAGACCCAATCACTCTTCCACGAAGAACCACAGTTGCAACGACTCTAGATCTACGGACTGGCAAATAAACCAACAGCTGCTATTTACTGTTTTCCTTTTGCGATTTCCTGGCCCCCATCTAACCTCGCGCTGATTTGCTGGCGGCTACAGAGGCAAAAGGGGGGGGGGGGAAGGAATCGGATACAACCACGCGCAACTAGAGCATGTTAGCGTCTGCTGAACAATCAGTCGCATTTGATTCTCCCAACCCCTGCGATTCGTGACTCTGGCTCTTTCACAGGCTTCCTAACTTCCTGTTGTGTTCGCATTGATGCGAGTCCCACAGCCATGCAGGACACCCTGAGCCCTCTCCTTCGAGCAGACTCTCACCCCGAGCTCGCCCACCGCCGGAGAAGCCTGCCTTCGCGGTCGATCAACGCCCCATCTCACAAGCACATTCCACCTGCATCTCCTGAAGTCATTTCTTCCCTGATCTCGTCCCTCTCTACCATATCTACCCCCGCCCAATCCCATTTCGACAATTTCCCCGAGATAGGTTCACGCACTGCTCCTCCGTCCCCTGGCTTTCAACAAACGGAGTTCCCTCGCGATGGCCGGGAGACACATGTTCCTCCAAGTTCGGGATTTGGCATGGATTATGGCGCCTACAAGACTGTAGTCGACGAGGAAGGCAATTCTTTCTTACACCCTGACGATGCTGCAATTTCCCCTGTGGTACGAATGGCAAAGGCTCCCACGTCTCCACGTTCACCTCGGTCTCCCCGATCGCCATGTAGCCCGACTGGCGATACCTCACCCAGACGGACAGGTTCGAGAGCGTCAATGGCTTCGTCTCATGCTGGTCTTGATGATGTATCAGGATTTGGTGTCCCCAGTTCGGAACCTGGTCCCCGACTCTCCACCGCAAGTATCGCGTCTTCGAGCAGTGGCGGTCGAAAGAGTTTGAAGAACCAATTGAACCTGCTGAAGAGGAGCTCTAGAGAGTTTCCTAAGGATAAAGAGAGTGACCGTTTCCAGAAGACCGGGGATAATCCACGGCTAAACACGTCACGCAGCCGGCTATCATTGCGCTCAACACCTTCGATGGCTGATCTGGCGGAAGAAGTGAACTTGAACAACGGTGTTTTCCAACTGTTAGAGAAGCAGTTGAATGGAGAGAGTAGACGCGACTCTGCCCCGAACCTTGGTACATCGAGGTCCGTTGCCAACTCGGTCAATGGCAGCCCAGGCGGGATTGGAAGTGGTAGAGTCATACCTACCCGTGAATCCTCATTGCGCCATAGCTACAATGGGAATTCAAGCAAAAAACGTCGTTCAACTCGTCACAGTGTATATTCCAACCGGGATTTCACCATCGACCGTGATATTGCGGAGGTAAACCAGGAAGACGATCAAGTCTCGAAGCGGATAAGGGAGCTTAAAGCGCAGCAGAAAAAAATCAAGGACGAATTGCAGACTGAGAAGGAGGCCTTGGAATCCACTTCGCAGCTCCGGGCACCGAAATCCAGCCCTAAGCCGCAGTCCATGCAACAAACAACAGTAACGAAAGAGACGGTTGTGGTCCGACAATCTGTTCATACAGTAGCTGATGAGCCACCCAGGAAAGTTGATGAAGCACAGGCGGAGCAACATGAAAGTGCACCGTCCCCTGCCATTCTCACGCGGAAATCACAGGTGACCAAGAAACGAAATAGCGGACCGCTCTCGTCAAAACCAACTAACATTCAGCCTGCATGGGGGATCCAGCCTTTTGAAAAATCTGACCGCGGTGACCCAAAGGTGTTGCGGCGACGGTCACTGCAAAACAGCCATTCCGAGTCAAATCATCGACGGACACGGTCCGGCGCAGTCTCTCCCTCTCCTCGTTTGTCGCTAGGCGCGGAAGAACGACCGTCTAGTTCAGATTCTATCGACGACGCTGTACGCGACTATCTCTCATCTCCACGGCTTACTCAAAAGGTAAACCATCCACACACAGGACGAACGATTGCGTTTTCCGAAGTTGGCGATCCAAATGGCTATGTGGTATTTTGTTGCGTGGGCATGGGCTTGACAAGATATTTAACGGCGTTTTACGACGAGCTAGCTCGGACACTCAAACTGCGGTTGATAACGCCAGATCGACCGGGTGTTGGGGAGAGTGAGCCTTGCGTTGATGGATCAGGGACGCCTCTCAGCTGGCCAGGTGTGATCCATTTCAGTTTCCTGCTTCTTATTCCATCCTATCTTAAAAGATTTTTTTTATGTGCTAACATATGTTGATAGACGATGTGGCCATTATTTGCAACTATCTTAAAATCACGAAATTCTCCATGCTGGCACATTCTGCTGGAGCCATATATGCTCTCGCGACCGCGCTCCGAATGCCACAGCATATCCGAGGACGGATACATCTACTCGCTCCATGGATACCCCCATCCCAAATGACCAGTATGGGTTCTCACAAAGAGCCCCTCCCCGCGGGGGCCGTACCATACTCCCAACGACTCCTCCGCGCACTACCAACCCCATTTCTCAGAGTCGCCAACTCCAGCTTCATGACCACCACCAGCGCAAGCATCACAAGCAGCCTCCCCAAGAACTCCAGAAAGAACAAACGCCGTAGCACAACCATCGCCGGCACCAACGAAGCAGGCTTCAACACCCTCATCGCCCAGCAGCGCGAAAACTCCCTCAACATACCCCGAAACCCGCCAGACCGCGATTCCCAGGACATCGTCTCCCGCGCCACCTCGAACCCCTCCGACCCCAAGGCCGAACTAGCCATCATCGCCGCCGCCGCTGCCGCCGTCGACAAGGAACGCCAATCAGACTACGACAACCGCCTCACACACGCCATCTGGGCGCTCGCGACGACGAATGCCAACCCAGCCGTCGACCTGCTCATCTGCCTCGAGCGCCGGCAGACGATAGGATTCCGGTACGTGGATATCAATCGCGCCGTGGTTCTCCATCATGGCACGCGGGACACGCGGGTGCCGGTTGACAATGTGCGGTGGCTGGGGAAGACGATGCGGCGGTGTGAGGTGCGGGTGCTGGAGGGCGAGGGTCATGGGCTTATGGCGTCGGCGCTTGTGATGGGGAATGTGTTGATGGAGGTTGCGAAGGAGTGGGAGGATTGGACGACTGTTGTGCAGGGGAAGAGGGAGGGGAATAGGAAGGGGTCTGCTGCTGTGGTTGGTAAGCAGTAGTTGGGTCTGGGGATCGACTTCGCACGCCTGGCTGGCTCCCGAGCTTTATCCCGCCTTGATTTTGTTCATTGACTGGAGCGTTTGGCGTGGATGGATCTCATGTTTTTTTTTATTTTATTTTATTTATTTATTTATTTTATATATTTTTTTATTGTTCACCAAATACCTTTCCTGATAACCATTGGAAAGGGAAAGAGAAGGGAAAATGGGGGTTGTGGTTTTGTTTTCTTTTGATTCGATTTGATTTGATTTGCCTGAAAGCTATCTGAGCCCTTTTTTCCCTTAATTTTTATTTCATCGTTTTATCTTTTCTGCCTATACACGGTCTTGTTGTAATGATCTCTTGCCCTTTTATTTTGCCCTCTCCCCGGGCGTCTATTTCCCAACACCTAACCCCGATCCTCTTCCGCTGGTCATTTGTATTCTCATGTATGTCGTCCCCTTGTTTCTGCTGCTTTTCATACCCCCTTTTCCAATTTTTGAATTGAGCTCTGTCCCAGCATTATTATTATTATTCTTTTTTTTTTTTTTCACCCCGTTTTCTCCCTTTCTGTCGTTTTCTTGCGCTCATGAATCTCTTGGGCTGTTGTTCTCCTTTTTCTCTCTATGGTCATTGCTTCTTTTACTTGATTCCCCCCTTGTCGTCCGTTGTATTTGCATGAAGCTTGATACTCTGTGTATGTACTGATATGAATGTTAGATTATTCAATGTTCACTCATTCCCAATTTGAGATTCTTTTTTCATTGGTTCCTGGTAACTTAAAACTTGGAACTGGATATTTCTTTCTGACAGTCGGATCCTGCACCGCATTTTTCACCCCGGATAACGCCTTGCTAAGACACAAATTAACTCTTGGCTTAACCATGGGGGGGGGGAGGTCAAACCAGGTGTAGAGGAACTGGTTCCATCGAAGACCAGTTGAGCAAGCTTAGCGGAGTCGAACGACGACAGTTAGTTACTTGGTTGGTACTCTGCACGCCGGCTTACGTGACTGGCCCACCCGCACACGAGAGCGACCTCGTCTTGCTTTTCCCAGTTTTGAATTGGTGTTGAGATGTGAAAGTTTCTGCTAAGAAAACGCCCTGCTGCAACAAACCTCCCAGGAGGATACCCGAGCTTCTGAAGAGCTTCCTTTCACTAATGCCGACCAAAATGTGCTGGAGGCCCCTGCCCCCAGCTGTGGAAGGATTGATTGTCCAATGAACTCGATGACGGAAACGAACTAAACTAAAATAATAAAATAAAATAATGAAAAAGAAAAAAAAAAAAAAAAAACCTTTTTGAGCGACTCGGATTATAAGTCATTCGACCAAATACCCCAGACTACTCCCTCCGCTACTGCTACTGCTCCGCAGCAGGCGCTGCTATGGGCCCATTCTTCTCTCTCTCCCTCTCCCTCTCCCTCTCCCTCTCCCTCTCATCATGACCAGGTCGCGCAAAGATGGCGCCGAAAAACGACAAAATGCTGCTACTCCGAAGCACCATGCAATAGAACAGCGTCAATCCCGTAACGACAATCTCTTCTCTTACAGCGTCGCTGATGGTGTCGCTGCCGGTCGCTGCGGCGATATTCGACCCGATCAACGTAATGTGGCCCACTTTCTTCAGCGACCAGGCGTTTGCGGAGAACTTCGCCAGAGGCATCTGGTTCTCGTCGAGACAGACAAAGTCCCAGGTCTTGAAGCCGCTCGAGCTGGTCCAAGTCATGGGCACGGGTTCGGGTTCGGGTTCGGGTTCGGGCGCAGCACCGTTGATGCCGCCGCCGCCCTTGGCGAAGGCGTACGAGAGGTGCGTATACTCCGTCCTGAAGCGTTTGAGAGCCTTGAGAGTAATTGTGCGACCGCGAATCTGGCAATCGGCATTGATGGAGACGGTGCGAAGGCTTCCGGTGGCAAAGGGGGGTTGGTCCTCACCCGCTCTGAAGGCGAGGTGCGGCTTCGTGGCTCGGTAGTCGACGATGTAGAGTGGAGGGGATTGCGGGGTGCTGCCCTTCTCGGTGATGAGTGATTTGTATCGTTTCCAGGAAAAGTCCACTTCGAGCGTCAGGTCCTGTGCAGGGGGACCTTGCCCCTGCTGGGCAACCTCAGGCGTGGGCTCCATGACTCTTGTCCAGGCTTGCTGCTAGTTTGGACTCATAGCCAGTGCACAAGCTGTCAACTATTCACAAGTTGTCAACTATTCACAAGCTGTCAACTATTCACAAGTTGTCAACTATTCACAAGTTGTCAACTATTCACAAGCTGTCAACTATTCACAAGTTGTCAACTATTCAACAAGGCCCTGGCATTCGCGGGATCCAGGGAGTTTTCTATAGAACTGGAGGATTCAAGGTGGGTCGACTGCTTTCAGTCGTAAATACTGAAGAGTGTATATGTAGAATGAGGCCAGAAAGAGTTTGAAGAGCGACAGCGCATCAGCCAGACGGTCTTTATGCGGTAGATGATGTAGCCGTCAGCCAAAAGAGCGAAACCATTCTGTGGGAGATATTTCGAGGCAAAGATAAGCCCGTTCAGGAATCTGGGGCCGGGTTTAATAACAAGCTGTGCTACCAGGATGTTCGTATTCATTCCTCGGGTTTTCTGATCCGTGTTGTATTTCAGCTCCCTCTTAACTAGTTGAAGAGCTGAGAGGCGGGCTTATGCAGATACGCCGTAACGCGGGGGGCCTCGGGGAAGAACATGAGGCAACCCATGCGGAATTTAAATAATGCTGCGGACTTTCTTTCAGTTCTTGCGTTCAAGCTACTTACTTGACTTCAGCGGAGTAGAGCTCTCTTCCGGAACGATCGTTGAAGAGTATAAGTACCAGCAAGAAAATGAAACAGTGGCAAATTCACACTCGGAACTACACGTCTCTCTACTCAGGTTGGTTCATAGCATTGAAACTCCATCCAAAAGATGAAACACGGGGGAAAGTAGTAATCACTGCGCTCACCGAGCCGAAGGGGACAGAGACGTATTCTCTTGTACTATAACAACAACAATCTCCCACAACTGAGGCCTGGCCAATCCCTCTACACAATCAAGCTCATATCATCGCAAAGTGGCATCCCCTCACTCAGTGAATGAATGCAGTGGCGCTCTAGGGAAAAACACGGGGGGGATAAAATCATGATTCCACGCTCCCTAGGCAGGCTTCAACCTCGACTCGATAAGTTCAAAATAGATTCTCTCGTCAGCTCAGCACTGTGGTCATCAAGTCCCGCAGCCAAATCCCACGGAGATAAAAGGGTTCTCGGAACATCGTCTCTTCCTAAGACCATCGGCTTCGTGGTATCTATCCCATCGAGTGGCTCAACAACGTCTCCCAACCTTCCGACGCCCTTTGTCGCTCAACCAGCACATGTATTATTCATTCTATTTCAAAATCTCGCCCGAGTGTTGGTCGGAATCGTCGAGTGTGTCGGAATTGGGTCGTCGAGCTCGGGGCAAACGCTTGCTGCGCTGTGAAGCTGTTGTATATACGGCCTAGGGCTCTTCCGCTACGTGAGCAAGGAACGAGGAGGCGATATTACTTCTACAGAAGAGGAGGAGGAGCGTAACAGGAGTAGCAACAGCAGCGACGGCAGCGCGGAATAAAAATAACAGGGACAACAAAGGAGACACCGGCAAAGAGAGTAGTCAAAGAGAGTAGTCAAAGAGAGTAGTCAAAAACTGCCCGCACGCGATGAGCTCCCTAGCGGGGAATCGAACCCCGGGCTGCTGTGTGAAAGACAGCGATGTTAGCCACTACACCACTAGGGACCGGTCTGCTGGAGAGGCTGGGGACCAGCCCGAATTCTAAGTGCGATTTGGCTTTTAACGCTTTTAAGAGGGGAGAGATAATAATGTGAATGCATGTATGTATGTATGTATGTACAGTGTCATCCAGTCATATCCATATAGTTGTCGTGAGAAATATACAAAATATTGCAGCTGCTAGCCAGCTGTTTTATAGAGGTGGATAGTAGTAGTAGTAGTAGTAGTAGTAGTAGTAGTAGTAGTAGTAGTAGTAGTAGTAGTAGTAGTAGTAGTAGTAGTAGTAGTAGTAGTAGTAGTAGTAGTAGTAGTAGTAGTAGTAGTAGTAGTAGTAGTAGTAGTAGTAGTAGTAGTAGTAGTAGTAGTAGTAGTAGTAGTAGTAGTAGTAGTAGTAGTAGTAGTAGTAGTAGTAGTAGTAGTAGTAGTAGTAGTAGTAGTAGTAGTAGCTGGATTTATCCCTAGTTATGTTTATATTTATAACTCGATGTTTATTTATTTGCAGAAAATGAACTCTTAATTGCTTCTTCTACTCGAGGTATGCGAAAAGAACACCCACATAACAGCTGCTCGCAGAGGATGTTGGCAGGTTCAACCTTTCAACGCCTAGCTGAACACTAGCGCTTCAATTGAACGAGTGTCTGAATCTGTAGGTAAGCAGCTGAGACATATATATATATATATATATATATAGAGAGAGAGAGATGTGGAAATTTGTACGGCGCCGGTGATCTCAAGAAGAGACTGCAAAAGGACACTAAATTACTGGCAGGGAGGACGGATCCATAGAGGTGGGAACTATGGATCGAATTCTTCGGTGGTTTTGCAACGGAGCAACAATCCAAAAGTTAGGAAATAGGATTAATAAAAGAAAGCAAGAAAATAAATATTGAAATCCACACCACACGCTCCTCCCGCCACTCAAATGTGCCAACGGGTAGAACCGGTCCTCCCTGGTTATACATCTGCGTTGACGCTTGGGGAAAAGAGAGGAAAAGGAGGAAAAAGAGGAAAAAGAGGGAAAAGAGGGAAAAGAAGGGGAAAAAGATTGACAAGTAACAATCACCTATCTCTGTTTGGTTGGGCATCGGACTTCGAGTTATTATATGTGGTCATTGAAACCAACACCACCCACCACCCACCACCCACCACCCCCTTCCCCCCCCTTCCCTTGGCTGGATATCTCGGCATAGATCGAGCTGGACTGCGCAGAAATATTGGCCCTAGTTGAGAAGCAGGCCCCACGGAGACTTTACTCGTTCTCCGCGGAAGAGTTGTGTTGTGTGATGTTCGGGCCAGGAGATTAGCCGTGGGGTTGCCTGGTCTGGTTGTGGTGATAAACTCGAGACACACAACCAACATAATCATATAAAATAGTTAACTAAACTATTAGGGACCGTTCCAGCTTGCTGCGAGTTCAGCCGTTGGACAACCCAAAAATCACAAAACCCCGGGGTTCCCCCATTGACCCGGGTTTTTTTTTTTTGGGAAGATTTTGGGGGGGGGGGGGGGGGGGGGGGGATTTGGTTACCTGCCACGATGGTGGTTCCTTCGTTCCGCCTCCAGAAGGATTCCAAGGATCCATGGATACTTGGACCTTGAAAAGCAACCATTGGTACTGGACAGCAGGGTTCCGTTGGCAATAAACTCCCGCCTAAGGCCTGGCCAGCATTTAAGGTACCCGGAGTGCGAGTGGGGTCTCGATGCGTGTGGGAAGAACGGCCCAAGTTGCGACAGCAAAACCAACATGGCCTCGTGGGACTAGTGAACGCCATTTTTTAGGTTTATTAATATTAGCATTAATAACTAGTGATAGTACGAGTTGATGATAAATAATAATAGTTAACTAATCATAGTACGGGGCAGTTGATGATGATAAATAATAATCATTAATCGTATGGAAATAGCCCGGGTCCCGGGGAGTTAGTTCGCTCCTATACTTCCCCCAGCTTTTCCCCCTGCCCTGCCCTGCCCTGCCCTGCCTATAACTAGACAAGAGAGCGGACTCCAGATCCTAAGAACTAACTCGCGTTCCTGGCAGAACAACCTGACGAGGCTGCACAAGTCGGACTCATCAAATGGGCTCTGCGCTGGGCACAAGCCACCGTGTGCCCAGTAGTGTGTCCAGCCCAAGCCAGCCAGCCAGCCCTCTCGCAGCGGTTCCTTTCTTCTGACCGATTCCCATCCTTCGATCCCTCCATCCCGTTCCTCGACACGCTCTATCACTTCCCTCCGCCCTCCGCCCGCTCGCCCAACCCAACTCTCTCCTCCCGAGTCCCATGAGTACCTCCTCTATTCCTACTCCTCTCTCCCGTGGTAGTCTGAGAGCGGTCGTCGTTGTCGCGTGCCCTTGTGGTCGGGACCCCTTTATCCGCCCGCCATGAAGGGAGCAACATCCCAAGCCTTCTCCACCCGGCGACACGCCCCCTCCTCCTCCGCCGTCTCCTTCCCTTCGTCGTCGGGCGGGCGCAGAATCATGCCGCCCACAACCCGTCGCGGCTTCCGAATGCTGCTCTTGGCTGTGCTTGGTGCTTTGTTCGTAATATGTTATCTAAATGTAAGTATTTTTCATCTTCTGTACTTTCGACTTTCATTTACTTTATTTTATTTTTGGCTTGGTTGCCTGTCTCCTCCAAAGGAGGGTGACTTCGCTGCTCCAACATGCGGGGTGTGTGGGTTTGGGGGGAAAAATAATGGGAAGAGGCAGGAAGTGGGGCCTGGAGGAACGGCGGGTGATCTGACCCGCGCAAGATTGATCGGCTCAAATATCTCGAATGAAAGGGGGGGGGAAAAAAAACGACAGCTGACAGATTCATTGCCCATCCATGTTGCAGGCCAACACTCATCACGTCCAAAATGGGAAATTCTACCAACAGACCGTCGAGGCCATGGAAGCCAAGCAAGCCGGGCGAGCTCACAGCGAGATGGACGATGAGGGCCTCTTCCAGAAGCTAAAGGCGCCGAAGCTGGCGCCAGAGGATAGGCAGGCGATTGCGGTGGAGCGGCAGAAATATGAGAGTCCGCTCAAGATGACGCCTGGCGATGGGGACGGGGGAGATGGAGGAGGGGTGGGCGCTGAGTCAGAAGAGAAGTCGATCGCGGGACGTAAGAAGATGCCTGTGCCGTCGTCGGTGGCGAGGTACTCAGCTATCACGTCGCAGAAGGAGGAGGATGCAGTGGTGGAGGAGGAGCTGAATGCTATTTTGAAGAGGTCGCCTAGTATGTGTTTTCTTGTCCATTCACTCATTCACTCATTTATCCATTGTGCATTGTCTTTATAAACTTCATGACCACAACCCCCCCCCCCCCCCCCGGTCTCAATCCTCTATCCTGCACACCACCGCTCATACCACCAACTAACCACAAAATGCAGTAATAATATTCTCCAAAAGCTTCTGCCCCTACAGCTTCAAGGCCAAATCCATCATCCTGAACATGTACAGAATCGTCCCGGCGCCCTTCGTCGTCGAGCTCGACATGCACCCGCTGGGCAGCGAGCTGCAGCAGATCCTAGCGGGAAACACGGGCCGGAGCACCGTGCCTAACGTCCTCGTTAACGGGATGACGATTGGTGGCGGCGATGAGATCGAGGGCTTGCATGCGCGGAATGAGTTGGCGGGCAAGATACAGACGTTGGGGGGGAAGAGGGTTATGGAGATTTCGTTGGCGCGGGTGTAAAGAGACATTTTACCCCGTGTGGAAGTGGAGGGGGGCAGGGGAAATGGAGGAGGGCGTGTGTCGAACTCGTCCACACACGCCTCGTTTATAACTGTTTTAATTTTGTGTTTGTATGGGTATATATTATATCATTTGGAAAGCGAGCTCACGTTTTCCTGGTTAGGTGGATTGCCCCCTTTCCCCCCTTCTTCTTATCTTTTTTTATCTTTATTTTTTTATTTTATTTTTTATTTTTTTTATTTTTATTTTTTATTTTTTTTAAATTTCCTTCTGTTTATTTCCCCTTTCCTTTCTCTTCTATATTCCTATGGGAGGCCAAGCACAAATGACACCCCTGTTGCAAATTCGCATTTAATTTCGAGGATGCTAATGAGGTTTGTACATGAAAAAGGAGTTCTGGGATGTTTTTTTATTCCTTCTTTCTTTTCCAACTCTCTTCGTGTTTCATACAATTGGGCAACGGGACTTGCTTGATATGGAATGACCATGGATGATGGATGGCATGACTCTGATTTGGAAGGCTTTAATTTAATTTCTTAAAGGAAAAGTCATATTAATTAATTCAAGCCTCCTCGATCTTAGAAATGCAAACTCCATATTGACATTGATCGGATCCCTTTCCTTGTTACTACTGGTCGTATGTTAGATCTTGCACTGGGACAGCTTAAATGGAAATGTCAAATAGTCAGTCCAACTTTCTATATGTATAAATAATAAATAACCGTTTGATACGGAACAAGGGAACAAGGGAACAAGCTACTTCCAATTACTCCATACGGGCAGTTTGAGTTGTTTGCAACAATTCCACTACCCAACTAGTCATACGCTAAACCCTATTCGGCAGCTAAGCGACGCCCGCACAAATCCCCCCCCTTACCGCCCAACTTTGGCCTGGAATTTCGCTAAGCGGGTTTTGCTTCCTCCGAAGTCTGTTTGTTGTGCGCTGCGCTGTTGTTATGTTGTGTTGTGTCTCTGTCTGTGTGTGAAGAGAAGAGTGAGAGTCGACCAACTCCCAACGAACAACCAACGAACAACCAACGAACAACCAACGACGACCAACGACGACGAACGACGCTCCCCAACCCCCCCCCCTCCGACTCCCTTTTTAAACCGCCCGTCGGACTAATTAATTCCACAGAGACGTCGTCAAGATGCATTACATCCACTCCTTGGAGACGCTGCCGATTCCGGATAATGGTGAGACCATCCCCCCCCTCCCCACCCTCCTGTTTCCCGCGTTGACTGTCCCTTTTTCTTTCTTCTCTGTTGTGTCTCCCCTGTTTTCGTGTCTGGGATGGATGGTTTGATGGGAGAAGAAAAGAAGAATGGAGGGTGGGATTTTGTCGTCTCTCTACGGATGAATGAGTGAGATTGGGCAGAGGAGTTCCTGCTGTGTATTGGAAAAGCGTTGCATGGGGACTGAGACTGGCTGGGTTTTCTG